ACCAAAGGAAAAGTCGTCTGAAAAGGTTAAGTAATGTTTTTCCGTTGCGGAATTCAAACTTAATAATTATCCTTCATGCCAGGAGCCCATCAAATTAAGATTGATATAGTCAGAGTTTAAGACTCTCCACACTATAATCTACCAGCTAGAAAGAAAAGAAAGAAAATCTCTGAGGGATGAAAACGCTTAAGCCACGTTTCACTACTTATGATTGTGTTTGGCCTGTCAACACCGAATTTCCTGTTTGATGAAGTACAACAGCACTGTCATTTCGTCGTTGTGACTGGCTCTTCCCACTGTCTGCGCGGGAAGTCTCCTCTGGGAACCGTTCTAATTATAAATCTACTCGGGAAAGGGTTGACCCCCCCCGGGGGGGGGGGGGTACTTTAGGAATTTCTGGGTGGGGGTGTGCCACTGGGACCCTGGAACCCTTAACCTATACCAGAGCTAGTTGAGCTGAATTTTGCTACCCTATACTAGAGTAAACTCCCCAAATCCCCCCTATCCTAGAGTAGCTGTTTCCCTAGTCTAGGTAAAATCTTCAACCAACTGATCAATTTCCTGAAAAATGATACCCTATTCTAGAGCCAAACGCTTTGATTTATATACCCTATCCTAGAGTAAACTGCTTGAAAACCATACCCTTCACAGCGGCACATACCTATATAGCCCATATGTGGCAGTGCCCCCCCGCCCCCGGGGTTGACTCTAAGGGGCTGTATGGGAGATGGATGCTCCATTTGATGGGCTCCTGTTCATGCCAGTCTCAGGCTCTCGCTGTCTTTTTTCGCCATCCATTGAAGTTGCCAATCGTCAGTTAATCACGGTCGCAAACGTCTATTTTCAGTTAAATTTGGGCTATTTAGCAGTTGTAAGTTAAAATGGCGCTTGTCAGTAGTCAATAAAACCCATCCAGACCCACTGATCCAAACCCTCATATATCCCTTTGCATTTGGTAATGAAACAAATGTAAACAATGACGTCACAAAGATTCGCCTTTATATACTGGACTCAGTATCCTGCGCTACAGACGAAACTAAACTCTAGTTAAGTCGTTACTAACCGAGGTTAAATTACTTCTGCAACGCAGGTCATGGCCTCCCATGCAGACGTTCTTAGGGGTTTTTCACGCGTTCCTGGGGAGGATTGCGTGAAGACCCAAAGAATGTCTGCGGGGGAGGCTACGCAGGCTATGGCTTCAGCGGCGTAGTCAGGATTCCGCAAAGGGTGTGGGTCACCCTGGAGTGTCACACTCACGGTACCAAACAGACCTTTAATACCCTTTTACCACTTGTTGTAACGGCAAAGTCAGTGAAGGTTTATGGTCTCTGAAAAATGTTTTAGCCTGCCTAGGCACGCTTGAATGGTTTTTCATACAAATCCTTCTAATTTTCAGCGACCGTTGCAATCGCTACTTTTGAGATATACGGCTGAAAATTTACAGGTTACCTAATTTAAATATACTCTTTCAGTTCGTGATAACAAAATTTTTCAAAAGTGAACGATTTTCATGTTTACACAAAGTGCATCACGTGACCAAAAGGCCTTCTAAGAATCTAAATCAATATTTCTTGTCGTCTTAAAGGTGTAGTAAAATCGTAAACTACTCTGACAACTTTTCTACTCGGCCACAGCCACTGCGCTCTTTTTAATATCAAGAAGAATTAATTTTGGGACCTTTCACTTGAAAATATAAACTCTTCTACGTATTGGAGGGTTGGCTCTTCTTTTAGTCTTGTGGGTCTTCTAAACAGAAACACATTATCAAATTGTCGGGCATTGAGGAACATGTTCACTGGTCTCGTTTTTATTGTCGTAAACCGCACGTAATGACAAACGCTAGACCAGAAGAAAGGAAAACGTAAGCTCCACATTACCGCGGAAAAAAATTGGTTATAGCAAAGAAAGCAATGACCAACGGGACCAAAAGCGAATTCACTTCACACTTTCGAATCGCTGCGAAGACGAACTTGTTGTTGTTGTTGTTCCCAACCCGTTTCGAGCATGCTCGCTACAGTTCTCGGATGATTGACAGATTTCTTAACCGGGACGATCATGGAAAGCCGAAAAGCGACAAGATCAAAGGCCGTTGCCAGCCCCCTTTCCACCCCAAGCGTCGTATCTGGGATGTCTTTGCTAATTCAACAACGTTTAGCCACTGGATAACATCACTAAAATCACATACTGCTGCCCCCGTCAGGGGCACCCAACGACGGTTTCCTCCTAAATTATACATTGAAAACACTTTTTAGGCTATCAATTATCTTTAGAAATGCATTCTAAGCTGCACTATAAAATTTGTGTCTGTTCGGTCATCCTAGGGGAACTTGAATATTTTCGAAATTGCAAGGGGTTCTGTATTATATTCCCGAAACTTTTAGATACAATTTAACGTATTACGAAAGTGAGCTTTTTTTCATTCCTCTCTCCATCATATTTTTGAAACCGAACATTTTAGGTTTCCTTTTTTTCTAAGAAAATAGCGTAACCTGGGGAGTGAAATGTGAAAAATTAAACTTCAGAAAATGATAGGGAATTTATCAGATAAGCTTCGAAAATTGTACATGAATGGAACGGTCATCAAGAAAGCTTTAGCCGTCCTCAAGTAATGGAAAATTCTAGGCAATATTTGCTTCTCCGAACAGATATTTTTACAGAAAACAGTCGTTGGGTGCCCCTGCTCCGTGTCAAGCTTGGAGCGGGTTGTGCAGACCAATGGTTCTTAACAGTGGGCATCTCTAACTAAAGGAGGTGTATTCATTCTTTCTCTTCTACTTCTACTACATGTCGGATGAGACGGACAGACGGCTGAAAATGCCCCTTTTTGTCACAGTTACTACAAATAGTGTCTCAGGCAGGGCAATACCTCCCGTCGTGGTTCTGGCTTTCGCTTCAAAAACAGGGCCGGTCATTCTGACTTGTAGGGCTCTTTCATAGATCCTCCATTTCGGCTTCGCGCAGTTTTCTTGTTTGTTGCTTGCTGCTTATGTTAGATCGCGGCTGACTAACATAATCAACTTTTTTCCTTCAGTTTCTTTCCCAGGGACAACGGTTCGGGTTTGTTTTGTTGCTGTGACTAATCTCGGCTTATACGAGCAGCGTCCGCAAGGGTGAGGTTAGATTTAGCTTGTAGAGAGTCAGACAGTATATCATCGAAGACATCCAACAGTAATTCTGACTCTTAGAGTTCCGTACTCATACTTTTCACAGATTGACCGGGGTTTTGTTTTCGTGGGTTGAACCGAGCTCGTTCGCTCGACAGACGTGCGCCGGGCTGAAGTTTTGAATAGCCTTCTTAATTGGGAGCTCGGTTTTGACTTCGTCTTATGAGCAAGCGGTTCCTTTCGTTTATGCCGTAACGTTTTGACGATGTCGTCCGAATGTGGTCCTCTATGCATAGCACGGCATAGAGAAATGCTCGGACCTTTTTATTTGATCCGGTTTGATTTGTTTTGAAGAGCTAAAGCGATCCGATAGCGATCCGAAAGCGATCCGAAAGCCATTTCTGTCACATTGTCCTCATGATTGGGATTGTTCGCTCCTTCGAACTTGCTTGGGAACGGGAGAGGATCTACAGGCTGCATGAATAGGCAGATTTACAGGGAAGGCAGTTTTCAACTGCTGGAGGATCTTCGGTTGGTCTCCCATTCTGTTTAATGGTGTTAGATTGGTTAAAGCCACTGCTATCATGTAGTATCAGGCGAAGAGAAGAAAGGAGACTACACAAGGCTTATTCAATATGGCCGAACAAGGACCCAAGCATGCAATGCAATGCCTAAAACTACACTGAAACTGACATTTTTTTTCTGATGAGCATTGGGCAGGGGGGAAGGGACTAGATTACGAAATAACTGCTTATAGATAAGTCAAGTGGCGAAAAGAACCAAATATGCTGTCTCTATATACCAAATTTTAGACCGCAGAGAACAGCTGACATAGATGTAATACTTTTATAAAGTGAAATTCTCAAGGCAAAATGAGCTTTGAAACGATGGTTTTGGCATTCATTGCGCAACAGATGCCTACAACATAGGGGTTGGAGAGAGGTTGACGGGCACCACAAGACCTCATGTCCCAGCTGCACCCCTAGGCGAGCAGCCTTACCTTGCCTTATTTATGACGTCAAAATATAACTAAATGGATTTTTTCCCATTGTGCCGTTTTTTTTTGGCATTCATTGCGCAACAGATGCCTACAACATAGGGGGTGGAGAGAGGTTGACGGGCACCACAAGACCTCATGTCCCAGCTGCACCCCTAGGCGAGCAGCCTTACCTTGCCTTATTTATGACGTCAAAATATAACTAAATGGATTTTTTCCCATTGTGCCGTTTTTTTTTGGCAGATGTTTTTTATTATTTCGTTATTACTTTATATACATACATTTTGCACGTTTCCTTCAGTGCCGGCCTGTGTTGCTCGTATAATAGTGGTCTTATACTGACGCTTTCATCCAGTCCGATTGTAAGGCCACCCGCATAGGATTTTATATATGCAGAGTATGCATAACAGATATCATCTGTTTTTCACAAGGCACCGAAGATAGGCGAAAAGCAGATAAGAAGCGTATATATAAATCTCTATCCTTATATTTTGTGGCATGACACGCTTCAACTTTCCCAGCTCTCACAATAAACTGTCGTCGTGCTGGCCGACTAATCTATTGTCTCTAATAAATTAAACTTAAAGAAGAGTTAATTCTATATATTAACTCAGAGGAACAATCCCTTAAGTTTGCTTACCTTAATTTTTGCTTTTAAGATGTTTCTCCTTTCAAAAGGTTCGGTAACGAGTGCAGATATAAAATCCTTTTGTATTGCAAAAAATCATGCCTGTTGACCACAGGGAATCATTAAGAAAACAATTTATCCTGTGTAAGTAGTTATAAAACCCGGCCTAATTTCATATGTTTTAATATTCATAGAGCTCTCTTTTGACTCAAATGCTTCCTTGAATTTTTATGAGTGTGAAATATGAATCGCATCCTAGCTGGCGCCCATGTTCCATGACACGTTGACTACAGCCAGTTAACACCGAGGGACTGTTTCGTAAAAAATTAATCGGTGAGTACTCTAAAATATATCACACTTTACGACGCTGTTCAATTTCATCTTGAAATAAAACGTAGTTATCACAGCGAAAAAGCCGATGGCTATAGTTCGGGATCATCTCTCAAGGGATATTTTGCCCCCACGACTAAGCGCGATTCTCTTAACAGTTTGTCACTAATTCAATCTGCATTCAGTTTTCTTATAAAGAAAACATATCGCAAAGAACTAACTCGGGAAAAAATTTTTTCTTGCGAAGGCTGAAAAAGACTTTCTAAAATATAAGTGTGGGAAAGATAGTGCTCTTTCTCCTAAGATTTATGAAGCCGAAAATGAGACTAATTTTGTCGGCTTTTCGGCACGATGAAAGCACTGAAGTGGAATGATGAGGATTTTAGTAAAAACGCAATTACTGCCCTTTTCCTGATAGTCATTCTTCTTCCTGTTTCTAGCTTCTTTAACATTAAAAAATCATTCGAAAGCATTTCGAGAGGTTTAGCGTTTCTTCCGATTCTGGGACGCTCGCCGACAACGAAATGGATACGTTTTAAAAGTTTCCACGAGATTCTATTCCTCGAATGGCCTCCTTAAAAATTGATTCTAAATAAGTGAATTTTCGGCCAGTTTTACGAAGGCCACCTAGCTTTGTAATATTGTAAGTAAAACACCAGTCACAAACCACAAACAAAGCACTAAGCAGATTGTACTCAACTATGACTTATCATCATGATTCTAAAAGCAATTTAGAAACCTTTTGCCAGTTTCTTCCGCCGCACCACGTTTTTACATCAAAACGCCGTTCATGCCGCGTATCTGATATGGTCTGAATTAACCTCTTTGCTCATTTTAGTGAGTTGGTAAGAATTCAATTTTATTTTATTTTGTACTTCATCTTTTGTTGTACTGAGCCACAGGCTAAGTTTATTACTTATTTTTCAATATTTTTCAACAAGCCCACGTATATGAGTCAAACTGAAATCATTAATTTTTGGCCGCTCAACTTCAGAAATCTATTTGGGCCTAAGTGAAAAAAACATATGGCGTTGTTGTTGTCGTTGGTTCGTCTCTCTTCAGTTGGGTGTTTGTTCTACCTTGTCTTGAGGCTATGTTCTGATAATGACACAAAAATTTTAAGTCTGGAAGAGTTAAACCAGTTTGAGTTTTTGTAGCCGTACACTATTAGAAAAAAAGGTCATTTAAGTAAGTAATGAATATCAGTCCCTCTTAAATAATAAATCCTTGGTTGTTATCAAAACATTCTTCCTTGTGCTCAAATAATTTATTTCTATGAAGAATTATTACTTTAATTTTGGTCAACATGTTTATTATTGCCACAATAAAAGAGAAAGGCATTTTTTTTTCCTCATTTTCTTAAAAACTATACTTCGTTTCCCTGCCATATGCGTTTGCTTATAACCGCCAGTGAAACTTAAATGTGGCCGGCTATTCACACCAATTTTAGTTAAACGAAACTATTTGTAAATATGCTTCCAAGGTACAAGTAAGAAATAAATATCTACATTTTGAAAAAAAGTTTAAAAAAACACTGTCTTTTTATCTGTCCTTTTTTTTATTAATACTGACAAACATTGTTTATTTATCAATTTTGTATCTTTTTGCAGCAGTGCCACTATTCGTTTGGCTTCGGACGTGCATAAACACGCGCACACTTAAAAACCAAATCTAAGCTATTAAAATCTGTCATAAGAGTTTTAGAACATATTACGAATACATTATATTTGGAAAAATTTCGGCTTCTTGTAACTTATGACAAAAACCGTTGTAAAAGTTTTAAAGAATACATCTTGGAAAAAGAAAAGTAAAGTAATGTTACCAAATTAAAATTCTTAATGGAATGTATCTTTAGTATCTTAGTGTAACTTTAGTATCTAAAAGTTGCTCAAGTAGTTTCAGGCCTAGGTCTCGGAGGTTTTCCTACGAAAATGATTTATATTGCTTTTAACTTCTGCAAAGAGGGTGTAAATAAATCTAAATTATTTAATGCTCATAGAAGGACCTCATCGTCTTAAACAGCTTAAAACAAAAATCAAGTGAAGTTGCCAACAATTGTTAATGGAACCGAAGGCTGAAAGCTTAAATGGAAGTGAAAACGATCCAAGGCGGAGAATGCAGACATGGAGGGACGATGAGTTTTTGCTCGGTTTTGAGTTTTCAAGTACATTTTGATGGAATTGTTGGACATCAGGAGGCGTGATGTATGAACAGTTCATGGGTGACTACACTTTGCGTGATTCGGCGTCTCGGCAAGTTCAGTTATTTATAAGCTTCGTGGATTTTCGAGCAACCAGCCTAGTCTCCGTCTCTTATATTTTTCCACCTACAGTGGTATTAAGAACTCTCTTCCTTATCCTAAACATATATATGATACGAGCCCACTACATTAGTATGAGTCTTGCAACAGTCATATGGGAATGTTCATTAAACCAATTTTC